CCACTCCCGGATGCTGAGTCATACACGTATTTAGGTAGGTGGAGGAAATTATAAAGATTAAAATACGAATACTGCAAGCGGGATTCGCGAATATTGTAGACTTTTCTAGAAGGTCTCGAAGAAATATTACATAATTATTTCTAGAATTTTGTTTAAAGAAAGGTATAAACAGGAATGCGCTTCAAATCCTTTATTGTATGGACCTGTTGACATCGCGCAACAACCAAATATGAGCAATGAACGTCAGAACAATGCGACCCCGATGCAACGGTGCAAGCGAACTTCCTTGGCTCAGAAAAAGATCCTTATTGAGCTGGTGTTCGTAAACTGGAAAATTACACACGAGGCTGCTCAAGTCGCTGGTATCAACGAGAACACGGCCAGAAACACCATCAACGCCTTTTAGGCGTGAAGGTGTCATTTTCACGCGAAAATGCGGGGTTAACAACAGAGAAAAGCTGATTCCAGACGTCCTGCAGTGCATCGACAACACAGCTTAACGATATCCAGAGGATACTTTGATGCAGATACGGCAGCGGCTAAAGGAAAATGAGATTGATCTGGCTGCTTTTTTCGGATTTCAGAACCTCATAAATATATATGCCACGGTAGACTGTTTTGTCAGAAGGGAACAATGGGGCTGGCTCAAGGAATTGGAGGATTGACCAGGTGACAGGTTACTCATGTGTTGGGATTTCAACACGAGGAACAGAGAATGGGACAGCAGTGGAGAAAACTGACAGGGAATTGCTCCTGCAGAGGCCATGGCTGACTCCGATATGGTCTGCATCAATGATGGGAGGTCAACTTGGATGGCAATGAGGTCTGGCGATGCAGACACAGCAATTGACTTGACATTTGTATCCCAGTCGTCGGTTTTAGATGTGAAATGGACTGTCCTGAATGACCATGGGAGTGATCACCTACCATGTTCAGTCCTGATTTATAAACCCAGTAAGGTTAAGGCTGGGAGAGGACGCAAGTCCTTCCCGTATAAGTGGACCAACAACCTACTTGGACGACTCAGACAGAACTGCCAGAATTAATTTCCTACAGCCCCCATGGTGGACTTCAAAAGTAGAACAGGCGTGGAAGGCAAAGAGAGCCGCATTGAAACAGCTAAAGAAAGTACGACAGACACCCTCAAGCTCACGAGAGGAAGTGGAGATATCGGAGAATGTGAAAAAAGATAAGATGGAGGTTTTCAAGCACTGTCCTGCACAGGCCAAAAGAACAACGTGGGAAACTTTTGTGAATGATATGGGAGGCGATAAAACATTGGAGAAATTCTGGAAACTACAAGGGCAGATGCAAAGAAAAGATCGGCCTATGAGAGTGGGAACAAATTGTACAGACGATGGTGTGCGAATGACAGCAGACAAGGAGAAAGGGAAGGCTTTTCTCCATAGGTTTATAGCTCAGACAGATCATAATGATGTAGACATCAGGGATGCAGTTAGAGAGGAGTTAGCTGGCACCTTAAAGAATATGCACTATGAAGACATGATACAAGTAGAAGATATCAAACAAATTTTTAAAAAGGCAAAATACACTGCACCAGGGCCTGATGGGGTCAAATATGGCCACATGAAGGCTTTGAGCGATGTGGGCCTGGCAGAGATGGCTGATTGTTTTAACCAACGCATTAAGACAGCAACAGTACCGTAGGACTGGGTGCACAGCTATCTAATCCCACTACCAAAACCTTTTAAGGATCATTCAAAGCTCAATGGTTTTAGAATCAGCACCTTACAAAACACATTTGGGAAGGTCTTAGAGAAGATAGTTGCTGTAAAGCTGCAAGAATTTTTGTAAAAGGGGAAGCTTCTCCCAAGACGTATGGAAAGCTACAGGCCAGGAAAGGACACGTGGGCAAATGCGGCCACTTTTGCTTTTGACGTCTATGAAGGGTTCCAGACCTGACAGGAAACAATGGCGGTAGACCTGGATCTCGAGGATGCTTATAACAGAGTAAGATACGACATCTTGATGACTGCACTGAAGGAGAAGGAGGCCAGCCCGTGGCTGGTGGATTGGATTGCAGTTGTCCTGCATTCACGTCGGGTTGCTCTTCGACTGGGCTCATAGACCTCAGAACCATGCAATTTGGCCCCAGGACTGCCACAGGGATCCGCAATCTCTCCTGTGCTCTTTAACGTGTATACGAGCAAGACTGCAAGCCTAGAAGCACCAGGAGTTAGACGGATACTGACTTTTACGGATGATATACTTGCATATAGGCAGGTGGAAGAGAGGGAACCAACAGCCCGGGAGCTACAAGCGACAGTAGACAAAGTGACTGAGTGGTGTAAAGAAATGAGGGCTGTCGTCCACCCGGAAAAGGAGTCTGTTTTGTGGTGTTCTCTGGACAAAAGGGTCGTTAAAGCTAATGTCCCAAGTCTCACGATAGATGGTAGAAACATCAACAGAGAGAGCAAACTGAAGTATCTGGGAATTACATTTGACAGGAGCCTGTCCTTTAAGGACCATGTGGAGAGTGTTGTGACAAGATGCCAAAAAGGACTTAGTGCCCTTAAGACTATGGCTGCAATTGACATAGAGCAGATAATGCTTTTCACACTATATCAGCACCTGATCCTGTCAGTGGTGGATTATGGTCTGGGACTGCTTACCGTCTCAAAGAGTCAGATGGACAAACTATGGCGCATACAGAACGCAGCTATGCAGGTCATTCTGGGTTGCACCAGAGACACCCCAGTGGTGCGTATGCGATAAATTCTTGGTTTGCCGACTGTTGCAGGTAGGCACAAGGTGCTGCAGGCGAAGTCATATCTCAGAATAGATGCAGACACAGACCACCCTTTGCACGAAGCTATGGGTGCTGTTAAGGGTCAACGGTTTTCTAGGCAAATTTACTTCCAGTAGTTTCAATAACTAAAGAGAGCACTGAAAAGATAACGCACCAGAAGTGCACTAATGACGTCCTCAATATGGTGATGAACTTGACTGCAGCAGCAGCAGCAGCAGCAGCAGCAGCAGCAGGACAGCTAATCATAAACTGATTTTAACTTTATTGTCTCTTGTTTTCTTGTAAACTGATTATTTTCTTGTCACAGTGCACCACTTTGTTGGTTTAGAAGTGTTAATCTTCGAAAATAAACTGTCTACTTTGCTTTGAAAACTCTCCTATTTGATTTGAAAATCACCCAGTATGATTTGAGAAAAAGTCCTAGCTGATTTGAAAAATGTATAATTTGATCTGAAAAATGTCCTATCTAGTGTGAAAAGTGTCCAGTTTGGTTTGAAAAGCATCATAGGTGGTTTGCAAAATGTCCAGTTTGATCTAAAAATGTCCTACGTGGTTCATTTTGTGTGTCCCCTTTGTTCTGAAAAACGTCCCGTTTAAAGTGAAAATAGTATATATGTATGTACAGACAATGGAATATTACTATATATATATATATTAAAGCCCCGTGGTTGAACAAAATATTAATTATGTAAATACTACTATTACTACCACCACCTCCACCATCACAACCACCAAATACTGGTAGTTTACAAATAAAGTAAACAGTAAGTGAAACGCTAAACAATGCTAGACTCAGTCTAAACACCTTAAGGATTAACTGTCAAACGAAGGTCTTGCTTTCACTCTGTTGTTTAATGAAGTCTAAGGGGTAAACAATAAAGAGTCCGGACTACAAACAGCCCTTGTTTGTGGATGTTTATTTGATTACTTAGCTCACTGTGGTCGGTTGTGTTAACTGGCGGTGAAGGGTGCACTCTGGTCTCAGCTGACCCTAAAACTGTTGTAGCAGAAGTCACGAATTACACAGTTGATCCAACAGTTCGTGCAGTGCACCAAACTACGATCATTATCTAAGAGTCAATGGCTAAAAACCTGCCAGATACAGACGATTTGATTAGTGTGTGTGGATACTGATTCACCGGACAGGACTTTAGTCCCAATGGAGTTTAGGCTTTGAGTGGTGGATTTTCAATTGTAATTTGAAGGAGGTTTAGTCGGCTCCTTATCCTAATCCACCTTCTCATCTACATCCTCCTACCCTCATTCACCATCACATTTCCTCGCCCCCCCCCCCACTCTTCTCCTTCTTCCCCCAGTGGAGCATATGTCCCAAACAACTGACCTTCTTTGCTATTACACGCGGCTCAACTAATTTAGTCTCCATTTTGTCCATTTGGAAAGGGGGGGGGGGGGGGGGATTGGAATGTCTGCCTTTACTTCACTGACCTTGAAGATTCCGGTTCAATGACATTCTAGTATACTGTTATAAGATTTGCTCAGTGTGTTTTATGTCTAACGCCATCGACTCTGCCTCTCTTTCCCTATAACTTTCCCGTTGTCACCGCATGCTAGTCTTCCCATTCTCACGAAGAAAAAAAAAAAAAGAGTGGGTGATCAGTCTTCATGAAATTATAATTTCCAAGTGAGTTCACAATCCGGGGGAGGGGGGGGGAGGAGGAGAATGGACCCCCTGACACCTAATAGACATGTCGCAAAAGGCTTCTAATTAGGAGTTTTTTTTTAAATTTGATAGTTGGATAATATAACTTCACGACAAATAGGCCACTAATAAATGCACGTTTTGGACCGAAAGATACCACAATCGCAGGTCTAACTGTAAACTACAACACAAGGTCTCAAACTCCCCTTTAAGTGCGAAAAAAAAATGGGACAGCAGTAAAGGAAAGATGATGAAAAGTAAAGAAAGAGTAGATAAAGAAATAGAAGAAGCAACAACAAAAGCAGCAGCAACAGCAACAAAAGAAAGAAAGAAAGATTGGAGGACATAATAAAAGGGAAATAGTGAAATAGTGACGACTTCCGGACCGACATGTCCGAAACAAACATGGTTGTCGTCCGTCACATAATACAAGTGCTCTCTTGATGCTGACTATAGCTAGGAATATTTCAATATGTTGAGTCTGGTGTGCGCCATGATACACTTATTTAGTGAGCTGTAAATATAGTTTTGTTAGTTACTTGTTAACAGCTGGATCTAGTCTTTCAGAAAATGGAATCTAAAGCCCAATCACAACGGCCTCGACCGATCACCACCACCACCAACAACCAGGGTCGTGGATTTCCAACTAATCTGCAGTTGGAGCATATGGCAGCTGGAGTCACAGGAGGGGTGGTGTCCTCTATTGTTCTACATCCACTAGATCTGATTAAAGTTCGATTTCAGGGTAGGTATTTCTTATGAGATAATTAAATGTAACATTTGAATTGTAACAAGTCAAGATAATAATATAATTATAATTTTCTAAATAGACAGGAATAAGCAAAGGATGAGTAGATCTACTACACTTTACACTACTATAGAGATGATGGTAGAACTGTATGTCCTTTCCTTTAGTTAGTCATATAATTTATGGCTATCCTCGGAATAACAGTCCTAAATTATTAAGGCAGAAACTTTATTATAATGTAATGATAATATTTTAGGTTTTAAACCATGTTTCCAAATAGCGCTGATGGTTAACATATATGTGCTGTCAAAAGCAAAGAACTGGAGAGGAAGTTTTAGTTGTACGGTCCACATTTTTACTCTGGTCAGTGGCAAATTATAAACCTGTATGCACCAATTGGCTGGCTGGATAGTAGTGCGAGATACGTTCCCTGTGACTCAGAGCATTAATGGTTCAATACATAACATAAGAATAAGACAGTAGTCCATGCATGCATTAATCATGGCCCACCACAAAGTCAAAGGGCCCCAGAACACACAGAGACAAATTGTAAGACAAGACAGGTACATTTATCGGACTTGATACTTTCTATACGGCAGGCAAGAGCTACATTGTAAATATAACTCTTAGGGTTGCTGTATATATCAATCATTGTAACTTCGAAATGACCAGGTTTTGTAGAAATAATCAGGAAATCTTCATGGCAAAAGACCAGGGAATAAAACAGTTTAAAGAAATGAATATCTGAATTACTTCATGCCATGACCTGGACGGAATAAGTGCACAGACCTGATCCATAATTCTTGTAATTATGTTCATACATAAGGGAAGTTATAAACAGAAGTAGTTTTTTAATCTCACCATTCTCAGTGTCTTGAACCATGGTGCTCAGAGAAGTGGCAAGTCTGACATTTCTGTATGTTGCCATTGCCCTGTAAGAGCTGCTGGTGGCTTGTCTATGAGAAACAGCTAATACAGTGGTTGCCTTCTGCTTCTGCACAGATGTTAGCAAGAGTGGAAAAGAATAGATTTATTAAAAATAGCATTTAGATGGGTTTTTTTGTGAAAAAGTGGCTTTTTAAAATAGAAAGTCTGACACAATTTTCCTCATTAGCCATAGGGTTAGTGGGTGACTGGGTCATGGGGTCAAGTAATTGTTATGCTGTAATTTATTTTCAAGGCCAAAGAGACTTAAGGCGGTCTGGTCCCTGCTGCTTTAATTTTTATTGATCACCCAATAATCTTCATGTTATTGAACATAAAAAAAAAAAAAAAAAAGAAACTTCGTGGGGGAATTTGTGATCTCGGCAATGTTTTTTTCTAGGTCACCCGGATGAACAGATTAAGATTTCTCTTGGCAAATGCATTTAAGAATTTTTTTTTTTTTACAAAATGCATTCAGTGAGGGCCAGAGAAAATAGTGCTAGTGTTGTATAGGATACAAACTGAGAAAGCTAGAAAATTTGTTTCCTGGAACCCACTGTCACTGAGTAAAAGAAATTTTAAGAGATCTAAAACAGAAAGAATGAAGACATTGATGTAGTATTTGGAGGACATGAATGGAGCTGCAGATGTGAATGGCTTGGAGTGAGTTGGCTGGAAAAAAAGAGTAATCAATGCCTGCCTTCCTCAGCTCGCATCCAGCCTCTCTGGCAAACACCAGCAGTGGTACAAATGGTTGCAGTGACATTTCTGTTTCTTTTGTTTTGTTTAAAAAAATTAGCCATTGCGACCAGGTCGCTTATTTCCTGGTCGGTCAGGGCAGTATTTTGGTCTGTCTCTCATGATCGCATCAACACTGCAAGAGTCCTTTTCAGGGCTGCTTGGTGGCGAGTAATGCTAAGCCATTTTATATTTCACACACAATCGTAGTCCCAATTATAACCAAAAGCTCCACCTTTTGGAGAGATACTGGTTTAATGTGATGATTTTTTGTTTGCTAAGCAGAGCAAGCTATAAAATAAATAAGATCCCCTATCCTACATCACTATAAAAACTATAAATACATACAGCAAAGACTCAAATTAAGTAATATTTGAATGTTTTTCTGTACATTTCAGTTGACGAAGGGCCAGGGAACAAAGGAACAACACGACCACATTATACTGGAGTGATGCATGCATTTAGATCAATTGTACAGGCTGATGGATGGAAGGGATTATATCGGGGAGTGACCCCTAATGTTACGGGTGCTGGATTATCTTGGGGCTTATATTTCTTCTTGTAAGTTAACTCGTTTTAAAAAAGTGTGTTCCATTCTTCATTGATTGTTTCTCTTAACTCCTTCTTAACCTTGTATTATTGCATTGTTAATTATATTAACTAAATTTATCGTGAAAGCCATTGGAGGAGTAGGTGGCATCATCATCATCGTGTGCCCTGCCAACTGGTGTAGGCGCTTATGCGTCTCCACAGATTACAATCCCTGGTTGCCTGGAACAGCTCTCTTGATAATATCCCTCCATGCCATCGTTTTAGCCCATCCAGCATCATCTCTCTTGTTTGCCTCTACCCCTTTTTTTCACTGATCTTTCCAGTTGTCACGATGTTCTCTAATGTCTCTCTTCTCATAATATGGCCAAAGAACAGTGTTTGTCTCTTTCTTATCGTTGTATTTAGAGATCTACTTTCATTAGCTTCTTTCAAGCAATAGTTGTTAGTTACTCTGGCCATTCAAGGTATTCGTAACATTCTTCTCAGGAGTAGATGGCAGAAGAAAAATATAACAGAATTTGGACATGTTGCAGACTTTGAATACCCTGTATAGCATAAGTATGGCTAGGTGTCTGTCTGCATAGCAGCTGGTAACTTACAAAGAGCATAGCACAAAGTATGAAACCCTGCAACTCTAGTTCCATTCTACAGGGATCTCTAAAACACTTACATTAGTGACCAAACAGCAGAGTTTAGTAGTCAAGCACATGACCTTTAGATCACAGGGCAAATGGCTTAACCACTGTGCTATGGATACTTCCCTCTTGTCTCTTTGTGCCAGTCCCCTTCCTAATCCACAAGCTCTTCTAGAGCTTAGTTAGTTAGTCGACAGATTATCCTCATTAGCTGTCGAACCGCTCAGTCCATAAGTGCTTGGATCCCCTCCTCAGTAAATCCCGCCGCGTGTAGCGGCTAACGACACCAGTTCTGTGTTGATTTATTCTTCTTCTTTGGCTACCCACAGAGTGTTCTTGTTTAGCGACACTCCGTTTTAACTTGTTGCTCTTGCAGTCTGACGGTGGTTGCAGATTCACAGGTCTCAATTGTTCTCATTTTTTGCTAGAGCTGAAATAGTTCAGTGTTGTTCTTAAACCTACTTGAGGCCTGCCAAACCTGAAGACATACTTTGTAAATGTTTTTTATATCTGTAAATGGTTTGTTTGTTTCCTTTCAGTTACAACACATCAAAAACTTGGATGCAAGAAGGGGACAAAACAAAGAATCTTGGGCCAGCAAGACACTTAGTCATTGCTAGCTTTGCTGGTATGTATCAGTAAATGAAATGTAAATCTTATGCATGTAAGACATTAGAGGCCATTTTAGTATAATGGTTAGTGTAGATGCCTGAAGGCCCTGTGCCCAGATCTGTCTAAGACAGGATCACTCTTCACATCAAGCTGGCAGTGTTTTGTTTTTGCGACTGTTAAATTTTAATTTATAATTAAATTGCGGGAAAAAGGTTAGCAAAACAGAGTAATACAAGTACCAATGCACTCAGTTCCAAAATTGCTTGACACCCCTTTAAATCTTCCTCGCACCCCCTAATGGTGCATGTCCCCTCTGGTTCAGAATCGCTGATCTAAAGTGTGGATTGTGTCACATAACTTAATGGCTCCAAGGGTAGACTCGGCCTTGTAGGAACATTTTCTGGGAAGATAAAGAGCCAGGCACTGAGTGTTCAATGATCATAAAACTATGGACCAAACACTGATCTTGCAGTTGATAGATAAGGACAGATAAAGATATGCAGTAAATGTGATAAATGCTGGTGTCCTTTGTGGGATTATAGGTCCCATTTTGAGGGAAAATCAATCGACCCACTGCCTCCTAACAAGCATGTCAAACAAAGCAATTAATTAGGCATTTGCTGAAATCAGTTGTGTTCTTAAAGGCACAGATATCACTGCCTAGCTGGTAACTACAACAAAGCATACCAAGCACTGTTTTAAGAGTGAATGCTGAATGAATACATGAGGGAGGGCATGTCAAGAGATGGACAAGCAGCAGTCTATGAGAGTGTATAATCGGGGTGGGAGACAGAATGTTGGACATCCATCTGTCAAAATTGTTTTGCGCAAAAAAACAGTGATATCCTTTCTAAAGACTCTTCATTGTGGAAAGTGATCCAGGCATACAGTACAGACCTACAGCCTAACTTTACAGTCACAACAACAATCCCAGGCATAGACAGAAAGGCTGAAGAATGTGACCTAGTGCTGCATACAAAGACTCTTGTACATGTCTATAATTCTTTCCCATAACCTGAATGGACACATGTTTACATGGATGGATCATTGGAGGGAGCAGAAAAATACAGAGGAGCTGGTTCAGTTGTCATACTGCAAGATGGGACCACATAGAAAACTTCAGAGCAGAGCAGCAAGCAATTATTGATGCAGTCAAAGTGCTTGAAGAAAAAACAAACAGCATAATTGTTTTCCTGTGTAACTGCATGTAAATTCTTCAGGGGACTTAGAGGGATCTATGAGACAACATGGAAAGAGAACTGACCCACCAACTAAACATACTCTCAGAAAACAATCAAATTGTTCTCCAGTGGATCCTGGCTCACTGCCGCATACCGGGAAATGAGTTAGTTGACAGACTTGCAAAAAATTGAACAAAGGAGAAACAACACACCCATTCATTGTCATTGCCAAAAATCAAAACAGCTATCAAGAGAAAATACAAGGAATTGTGGAGAGAACAAACCAACAGTAAACATCCACAAGATCCCATCAGCAGTCTGAGCAGAAAGCAGCATACAACGATTGTCCATCTACAAACAGGACACTGCAGGCTCAACTACCACATGCATAAAATAAAGACTGTACGGTCCCCACAGTGTGCCTGTCAAACAGGACCACAAACACCTGAGCACATTCTGCAGCCTGCCCAATCTACCTACAGCTTTGAAAAGTAACCTGGCCTCTAGAGCAAAATGTGCAAAGCAAGCTATGGGGAACCATGAAGGACCTGCAGCTGAAATTTGAGTTCATAGAGGCAACCCACCTGGTGGTCTGACCTGAGCATACAAAACTGGACGCAAAGAAGAAAGGACACCTATAAAGGTATGGCTGATTGGCCAATCAGAATATATGTGGCTGAATAACATCTAGAAATGGATGAACAGCAGCCTGAGATAGGGTCCAGCCATGGCGACTGACATTTTGGAGATTCCCTGCAGTCGCCCTTCCTTGTGGAGATGACACCAGATTGATTAACCAGACTGCATTTGTTTTTTATCCGTGAACAGGTTTGGCCACGCTGACTTTGACCAACCCGATCTGGGTGTCGAAAACCCGCATGTGTTTACAGTACAGCACCCCAGGCAAGGTTCACTTTGTGGGCATGTGGGAGACTCTAGGAAATGTGTACAGATTTGAGGGAGTGCGAGGTTTATACCGGGTAAATTCATGTTGTGTTTCTTCTCCTGTTTTGTCACAAGTTACATTAGCATAATTGTTTGTTACATATTTACTTGTGGTTATTATATCATGTTCTAAAAAAATTGTTTATAGGCTAGAAGGTGGTGATACACTGAATATATTTTAAAATGAAGCAGGCTGAGGATTTTAAAACAAAAACGGTGATACAGTAGGCACATTAAATTAAGCAAGAAATAAATCATAAAACAGGAATAGTGATACAGTGGGCACATTAAATGAAGCAGGAAAAGAATCATAAAACACAAATGGTGATACATTGGGCACATTATCAAATAAGCAGCAAAGAACTATTTAAAAAAAATGAAATCCGAAACATAAGTTTTGAGAAAGCAAGGATATCCAAAAGAAATCATACGATGTTGATAAGAGAGACTAGGAGGGCTGGACTGGATTCGATACACATCATTGAAAAGATTGCACATCAAGCGGAATGGAGACACTGACTTGAAATTAGTTTATAAAGAGCACAACAGGAGTATAAAGTGTAATTGCCCATTCCAGTCAACAAGGCACTTGATGGTGATGATAATGATGAATTATCTCATCTTTATTTATAATGATAATTTGTAAAATGTACTTTATGTATGGAATATTTATATGATTGAAAAACTCACATTTGATAAATGCACCAACTTTATCTTTTCCGCTGTGTTTTTTCTTGACCAATCAGGGCTTTTTGCCAGGAATATTTGGTATATCCCATGGTGCTTTGCAATTCATGGCGTATGAAGAGATGAAAACTTTGTATAACAAACACAGGAATCAGCCCCTGGACACCAGATTGGTAAGTGCGTCTATATCAAGTCTTTTAAGAAAAGTATTTTCCCTCTGAGAGTGCGGCCTGAAAGATAACCACCCTTTAAATCAAAAGGCTGTTTTTTTCCCCATGCAAAGCTGACATCAGCAAATCACAGAAACCATAATCAGCTGTACTAAACAGTTATATTAGGGTATCCTTCTGTTACAGCTGTACAAAACAGTCATTCTGTTACAGCTGTACAAAACAGTCATATTGGGGTATCCTTCTGTTACAGCTGTACAAAAGTCATATTAGGGTATCCTTCTGTTACATCTGTACAAACCAGTCATAGTGAGGTATCCTTCTGTTACAGCTGTACAAAACAGTCATATAAGAGTATCCTTTTGTTACAGCTGTACAAAACAGTCATATTGGAGTATCCTTTTGTTACAGCTGTACAAAACAGTCATATTGGAGTATCCTTTTGTTACAGCTGTACAAAACTGTTCTTCTTCTTCTTCTTGTGTTCGCTTTCTGATTTACACCGACAGACAGGTTCTTGTGATAAACTTGACTGTTTTTATGAGTTCCTTTTTAGTTCCATACAACTTTGTGTGCAGTGGTGACTCTCTGGGCCAGTATTCTCTTCTTAATGGGATGAACAAGGGACAGTCTTGCAGGACATGTAATGTAGTCTGCACACATAGCCCACAAGGGCACACGGGTGAACTACTTAGACGAAGCCTGTGCATATGCTGGTTAAGTTTATGTCCTGTCCTGAGACGTAGGACATGACCTGCCTATGCCGGTCAAGTAAGTGGTAGTCATCTCTGGCCAGACTCTGTTCACTTCTAATAGCCTGGATGGCCCTTTTCTTCTCATAGTATGTTACTGCATTCTCTTCCTGGTCACATTCTGCCCCTTTCTTAGCAAGTTTATCTGCGGTTTCGTTTCCTGGTATACCACAGTAGAATGGCACCCACTGGAGTACAGTACACTTTTAGGCAGCCACCTTGCCAAGTTCAGATCTTAGGTGAGGGAGTTTGCCACTCTTGAGGGTTGAAGCACTGATAGCGCATCTGTGAATATGACCACTTGGTGGCAGTCAGAACTGGTGTTGTAGTGCTACGATCTCTGCTGTGTAGTTCACAAAACAGTCATATTGAAGTATCCTTCTGTTACAGCTGTACAAAACAGTCATATTGGGGTATCCTTCTGTTACAGCTGTACAAAACAGTCATATTTGGGTACCCTTCTGTTACAGCTGTAGAAAACAGTCATATTGGGGTATCCTTCTGTTACAGCTGTAGAAAACAGTCATATTGGGGTGTCCTTCTGTTACAGCTGTAGAAAACAGTCATATTGGGGTATCCTTCTGTTACAGCTGTAGAAAACAGTCATATTTGGGTATCCTTCTGTTACAGCTGTAAAAAAGTCATATTGGGGTATTCTTCTATTACAGCTGTACAAAACAGTCATATTGTGGTATCCTTCTGTTACAGCTGTACAAAACAGTCATATTGGAGTATCCTTCTGTTACAGCTGTACAAAACAGTCATATTGGGGTATCCTTCTGTTACAGCTGTACAAAACAGTCATATTGGGGTATCCTTCCTTACAGCTGTACAAAACAGTCATATTGGGGTATCCTTCTGTTACAGCTGTACAAAACAGTCATTTTGGGGTATCCTTCTGTTACAACTGTACAAAACAGTCATATTGGGGTATCCTTCTGTTACAACTGTACAAAACAGTCATATTGGGGTATCCTTCTATTACAGCTGTACATAACAGTCAAATTGGGGTATCCTTCTGTTACAAAGTCTAAAAAGATATGAAAATATAGAGAACAGAAGAGATAGAAAAGTCTCGTAAAATCATAAAGTATAAGTCAGTTTTACAAAACCTACCTGTTACAGTTTAGAATGTTAGAGCTTTGCCACTGTAACTTTATTTCGGTACAGTTATGGAGTAATCTGCTGTTCTATTTGGGTGGGTTTTCATTCATTGTCGTGATTTGTCATTGTTTGAATGTTGAATTAAGATTTGACATCATAGTGCTCGGGACACTCCCATAAGTGCTCTGTTCCCATCTTTAGCAGCAAGTGAAGAGTCTCAATTCCGATGGTACAGTAACTGTCTGATTGCATATCAGTCTCGCCTTTCCCTTGAGTGTTGAGCATCGGTCAGATTCCCTGGTAACTCCTCGCAGCACTGTTCTCCTCAGACCGTAATTGTCATTGTTTATCACTTAGGGCTAACCAGTCTGTTCCTTCATTTTGTTCTGTTCTCTGCGATCACATTGATATCATGGAAGGAATTCAGTCGGGCACCTTTGGCCTCTTTCATTGATGTTCACTTTAGGGTTTCTCTTGAACGTTCTTGTTTCAACAGCCTCTTCGTTTCTGGTTTCAATGCTTTTTTGGCGATTCTCTATCAGGATGTGTCCAGTATAGCGCCGTCTTCTGTTTTATAACTGTTGATGCTAGTGCGTGTACATACATTTTTTTCTTATTTTTGTCACCCCTGTTAAATTCATCCTCGGAGTTGCCGTGTCGAAGCGGCTAGACACTCACCTGTGGATCGGAAGGCCGTGGGTTCTCTCCCTGGATGAGCCGGGCTTTTAAAAAAAAAATTAGCTGGCTCCCAGGTTGACCCAACTGAGTGGGTATTGGGTGCAGTCCCAGGAAGTAAAGGTGGTCGGTGTGATGCTGACCACATTACCCATCTTGTGCCAATTGGTCTATAAAAATATAAAAACCCCATATGCCTTAAAGGCATGGAAAAGGGCCCTTTACTGACTTTTTAAATCATCCCATTTTTATGTGTGCTAAGTAAGTTATATTTAAGAAAAAATTTGAAGGACCCTTTTCATGCCAGTGTTGCATTAGGCTTATATTGCTAGACTTATATTTTGTAGACCAGTCGGCCCTCGTTGGGTGATGTGGTCAGCATTACCTAGGCCACTTTGATTGTTTGCATTTTACATAGTACTCATTTGAGGCTGGGCCGATATGGGAGCAAGCCAAGGTTATTTGAAAAAAAAAATCTGACTTGATGCTGATTTGAACCTGTGACCTTTGGAACAGCAGGCAGAGCATCTAGTTTTGGGCTGTTTAGCTAAGTTTACTCAGGGGCCAGATGTTTGAAAATGTAGATCGTCATGGGTGGGAGGCCTGAGCCCTAGCGTAGAAAGATCATTGATACAGTATAGCTGGCAGTGATCCATGGGTCACTTGTTGAGCCTGCACGGACAAGATTTGACCCCCGGGCCACCAGTTATCTTTTAGTTGCGACACCACCACAAGGCTTATTTGATAAGTACAGATTCCCGTGTGAGTTCCCGGGACCTCAATGTGGGGAAAACAAGAATAGACCCACTGCCTGCCCAAAAGTATGTTGTAAGAGTCGGCTAATTGGGAGCTTCCTTCGAAGTCAGAGTACATCTGCTTGAGAGGCAAGGGACCAACAGTCTGCATGCAGCTGAGTCAGACCTGTAAAATAGATGTACACACAACACTCAGTTTCTGAAACAGGACTAGGGTCTAGAAGTGGACAAACAACCAGAACATTTCCACCGGAGTTTACAGCCGGTGAACGAGAAGAATAAGTTGAAAGTAAGTACAGATAGTCTGCGGACTGAACATTATCTTTATCATCATCCTGGACCTTGCTGATAAGAGTAGACGGTTATCTTTCACAGTCTCATGCTATAACCAAAATCGTGGATCAGGTCAATGCTCTCATATCACCCTAAGCCATCCATGTATTAGTCTCTTTGCCTTTCCCTTTCTCTGTTCCCATCAATTTTGTCACTTGTAAAAAAAAGAGTTATTGTGTCCTGACTATTCTTGGTATCTTGAAGAACGTAGTTTGTCATTGCTTTCTTTCTTGCCAGTGACTATACTGTCTTTACTGCCTGTATTTATCGCTTTTAGAAACTTCAGTATGAAATTTAAAAAAAAACAGTCGTACAGAGTTTAAAAATTCCATGATTTTTGAATACTAGGGTTGGATTCCCGCCAGACGATTAATTGAAAAAAATAAATGTAAACCATGTTTGTTGAATTTTTGATTGTTGTATGAGAATCGTATCATGGAAGAGATTGGAGCCTCACCACATAATATTCCCAAAGAGTACAGTGGTACATTCATTGTGGAGATGGTCCAGATTAAAAAAATATGTAGTATGGGAAGGGAAAGTATCTTGAGCCATTGATAAAAGAACATATGGCTAGTACTGTGGCATTGGACTGTGCAGATGATGATTTGTAGTTCCCCTTTCCTGAAAAAGCATATGTCCATCATCTTTGGGAGAATTTGATTCAGAGTCTCCTGAATAAGCTACTACTCTGAAGCGCATGGCTTCTTTGAATTGGTGGCTTCACTGAATAAGACTGGAATAAGAGTTCATGGAATGAACTAAACAGCCTGCAGTGAATAAAATCGGTGAGGAAAATACACTGGCACTGGGTGTGACATTACGTACACCACTTTACTCTATAGCTAATCTTTCCTCTCGATTCCTCTCGAGCCTGTACGGTAAAGAAATTTAGAGGAATACCTAACCACATTGAGGAGACAAAGACCTAGAATCAGAAATGCAATCAAAATTAATTCCTTTCAGCTGAAATAGACAAGTCACAAAGTCCATTGTACTGTACAAAGTGATAAAATGTGCAGAGTAAAGGAAACATTTTGATAGACTATTTGGCACTCAGCGTGTAATGTGGTCAGTATTGGGCTAGCCACCTTTACTTCCCCAAAGTATTTCCTTATACCAATATAAAGCTGAGTTGACCTCAGCTAATAAAGTTTGAAACACATACATTTTTTAAATCTTGACTCCGAACAGGTATTGAAACCAGTGGAAAGACAGGCACATGTGTGTGTATGTATATGATATTTTATGCATTCACAAGATGTGCATGGTTGTTCATTATCCTGTTTTGCAGAGTTCATCAGAGTACTTAACATTTGCTGCCCTCTCGAAGATGTTTGCCGCAGCGGTCACATATCCGTACCAGGTGGTGAGATCTCGGTTACAAGATCAACATCGTAGCTATAATGGTGTCATGGACGTACTGAAACAAATTTGGGTGTAAGTTGATTTGTTTGTTTTGTTTGTCTTGTCATTAAATACCACCGTTTTGAGGGCCTTGGCAGTGCCTAGGCCATTTGTCTAAAGCTTTAAAGGTCATTGGCTTGGTTTTAAGCTTGATTTGCTAATGGTGGGTGTTTGTGAGATGCTTGAGAAGTGTCACTGGAGCTATGAGGTTTCCTGCTTTGTTCAGCATTTCATGGCTGGTGAAAACTACTGCTCTGCAGTGAGCAAGCAAGCCATACTGGATAAAACCCATTACACTGAAGCTGATTCTCTCACCTTTTCGCTGTTTGAGCCAGAACTGATAAATTCTTTTTAAAAACTGAGGTTCTGATTGTATCCTACCCATGCAAAAAAAAAAAAAAAAAAAATCGGCTATCTTTCTAATAATGGTCTCAAATTATCGAAGCAGAAAATATACCCTAACAGAGCCTCAGTCACATGTCAGTTGCGCACTTCGGGGGACTAGACCGCCACCGCCGAATCGTGCACTTCCGGAGACTATACCGCCACCGCCAAGAGTATCCCCCACGCCGCTTATGCGGCGTGGATTGCGGCTAAACTTGAGGGTCTGGGACTCAAACGAGCAAATAAAATGAAGGCCGCTGCAGGAAATGCGGTAGCTGCTGCTCGTGAGTCCCAGCCATCTAGTTTATCCCCAATCCACGCGGCGTGGGGGATACTCTCGGGCGGTGGCGCAAGTCGCTGGAAGTGCGCAATTTAAGTTGCAGGAAGCGCGCAATTGACATGTGACTGAGGTTCTGTTAGGGTATATTTTCTGCCTCGATAATTTGGGACCGTTATTCGGAAGATAGCCAAAAAATCTGTTCCTTAAGGAGCCACCATATTAGTCTTCAGCATCTCCCTTAGGTTGAATATAAAACCTTATAGAAGATTACATGTAATGTGAGTTGGTAGCTGCACATGATAGTTCCAGTGAGTTGAAAATAAACAGTTTGTTAAATGTTTTAAATTTGCAGCTAGTTTTGTTTGCAAATGACAAATATAGGTAGTATGTCTGTTTTATAATATGAGATTTATAAAGGGGCAAAGCTTCTTGTTAAAAGATAGGCTTGAGTGAAAGGGGTGTGGGAGTGTGCGAAAGGAAGACAGTTACACATAAGTAAACGTCAAACTCCAGAAAGTAGGAAGCCTATGAGTTGAGAGACAGGACTACTGTTAGTTATTGGGGGAAATACTACTACAAAATGCCTGGTTGTGGATTTTTTTTCTGTCAGAGGCAAAAATAAAATCCCAGCCTGCACAGTTCTTAGTGATACAGTCATTTGGTCTGAAATCCTCAGCCTCAAGACCCCTTGTTCTACGTCGCCCAGACAAGTGGCAAATAGAGTCAGTGTTGACAATATAGGTAGACAACAAATCAAATGGTTTGGCCATGTAACAAAATTGTTATCAGACAGGGTACCAAAGAGAGTGATGTTATACAGATACAGTCCAGAGAGTGACCACGCAGAACATAGGCCGCAAAAATATCTGAGCCACACTGAAAAGTACTTTATACGAAGCGAACAGAAGTGCCCAGTCCAGAGATCTCTTCCTCTCCTGACGCCGTGAAGCATTCCAGGAGTAGAGAAAAGCAGAAGAAGATGACAATATATATAATTTTTTTAAATATGCAGACATAGCAGTAAACGATATTTGTATGGGTATGATGGAAATTTAAGTTGTAAGAAAAATATGACTTGAGAGAGGAGTCCAAATAAGTGAAACATTACCTTCAGGAAAGAGTCTTATCGTGGACTGTTCAAGGGCCTCAATGCCTACATGATCCACATAGTGCCAAACATCATGATTGTGTTTGGGATCTACGAAGCTGTCCTGAATCTTCACTCAGAGCTGGCACTAGAGAAAGATCTGGCAACTGTGGAGGAGACATGAGACTTGGAGTAAGTTTCTGCTTATGAAATTTTAGTGATATTCCATTTTTGGGGCTGGCAGGCACAGTATGCCTGCCAGCCCCAAGAGCTTGGGTTTGAATCTGCACCTGGGTGGATAAAAAAAATGTCCAGGTCGACTCTGTCTAAAATGGGTACTAGCATAGGTCCTGGGAAGTAAAGGCAGCTGGCAAAAATATTAGCTTTGCATCATATGCATGATGTGTCACTGGCTTCTGAGGCTGGACAATGCTGTCACATGAGACAAATTAGAAACCTCTCTAATTGTCCAGTATCTGACTCTTAGAACTGGAAAATACATAATTGTCTCCTCCCTAATATGTCTTTGTGAACTATAATACACAGCTGACCACTGTTTGTCCAGTGTCTGTCTCTGAGAACTTTACAACACAGCTGACCTCAGTAATTGTCCAGGACTTGACTCCTAAGAACTGTAGCAAAGGTTGTGTCTGTGTGCATATGTTACCTTATAATTACTATAGTTATGTGTACTATCCTATACATTGTTTTCATTACATAACTCACAGAGCATGCTCTGAAAGGTTAAGACAAGATTCAGAGATTCTGGGTAGTAAGCACTCATTGAATATTGTCTCTAGGGTGTGCAGGTGTGTTGGGAAATGATAGACTGACCATGCCACTCAGTGGTAAATTGATGCATGACACGCTAGATGTAGTCAAGCCCTTTGGGAATTAGTGAACAGTGCAGAAGCACAAATAGATTATTATGGTCAGACTGTTAATGGTAACATCAGAATTGGAACTCTGTGTTTGCTGCTGAAGATGTGGATGGAGTGCTTATGGGAATGTCCCAAGTGCTGTGATCTCGGTTCTTAATTCGTCTTGTCTTCATTATACAGTGGTCATGCACTTTTCTGTAGAAAATATGTCAAGGGTTGTAAATAACTTAGTTATGCTGGTGACACCGTCTTGATAGCAACAGGTCAGAAGTTACTATAGGAAATGACGGATACTGTAAATGTAGAGAGTGGAAAAGTGAGTAACAGCCTCAGTAATTAGTATAGAGGAGCACAGATAAATAGGACAGATTTTAACATATGGCTGTAAATTCTGGACATTGTGCACGTAAGCCCCTGCTTGAGATATGGTTTTACAAACTAATGATGATTCTTCCTTGTCTCTGTATGGGTTCTGGGGCCCCTTTGTCTTGGGGGTGGGGGACACACACACACACACACCCACTGACCCTTAACAAGCATGTCGTAAAAGTTGACTAATTCTAGGTGTTTCTTTCAAAGTCGGAGTGCATCTTCCTGAAAGTTGGGGAACCAATAGTCTGCATACATATCTGTAAAACAGATGTGCATGCAAAACTCAAGTTCTGGAACAAGACCAAAGCCCAGGGGACAAACAGTCAGTCAGAATGTTATGCTGGAGTTTACAGCCGGTGAATACTAAGAAGAAGAAAGAAGACAGGTGGGGCTGGAAATTGCATGATGTAGAGAAGCCTGATTGTTCATGCCTGTTGACAAGATGCAGAGTGAATAAGTTAGCAGTTTTTGTCTTCAAGCATTATTTCAAAATCTCACGTTCCTCCTTTGAAATCTGTCAGTAATTTTTGTTTCCTTCTTCAGGGAAAAAGTACACTTATGTAATTGAAGGAATCCCGTCCGCATGGGGCTGGATCTACGGTGCTTGTTGTGAATAATAATTTTCTGATGTGACCTGTGCACTTTATCAAGACCAGCATTCTAGTGTACAGGTTTCAGGAAGTGTTTTCCTGATGTTTTATATCGCTTTTGGAATATTGTATTGAGACAGCTTTTTTTGTGTGTGTGTGTGTGCCCATGATGGACATCACAAGATGGGGATTATGTATTCAGCTGAGGCAACATAGAATAATCATAGCAAGACTGGATATTGCCAATATTATAAATGTGCTCTATTTTCAACACTTTCTTCAGCATTCCGAACCCTTGAGGTTCATTGCTGCAAATATCACCATTCTCCTTTCATCTCTGTGATTAGCCTTCTTCTTTATCCTCTGCAAGTCTTTATGTGTCTGCCTATATATATATATAATTACATTTTTTTAATGTGGTCTCAAGTGCAGATGATTGTAAATCGCTGAGAAGGTGTATAATATCCTATTATTGCCACTTATAAATTTGAAGACATTAATTTGTTTTAAAAACTAAAATTCATCATCTTCCATTTTTCTGCCATTAAATGTTGCGAGGAGAAACAATTTATAGTCCAGAGCTCAGCAGATAGTGCTGTTGTCATTCTTTGTCAATGAACAATGTCTTTAATGTCATTTGTCCATATTCTTCTTCATGCAAGCTCTTTTACATGTAGCACTTGCATTTTGGTAATTGTGGCTGCATTCCTGCAAGATGACCAAATCATTGGAGCCTGAATTTGTGGCCAGGTGTTGTGTCCCCCAGTCTTTCTGATGCTATCAGTTCTCACTCAGTCTCAGATGATTGCCTTATGTTTTAAATATATATAAGATGCCCCTTCAGGTATAAGTATATAGACACATTTTGATCATGTGAGTTGACTGAGGGTCTTTGTTTCATTGAAATATTAAAGGACCAAATTGGGGGGGGGGGGGGGTGTTGACAGCTGTGCAAATGGGAGGTTATTAAAAATTTTCACTTTTGAAAATATATCTGAAAACATTTCTCATTTTTGATGCTGCCATGTTTTAATATTAATCTGAAAATACATATCATGAAGGAATTTTTCACGTTTGTATGAAGTCATATACATGCTAAATTATTTCTTGTTGACTATATGTCTTTGTGTACCCAGAAGTTACTAATTCCTACCTAGCTGTTTTGTATTTGATTGTGTATTTAAAAGCATCTAAAAACTGTAAAATTTTCATGTTTGGATGTGTCTATGAAAACACACAAATAAACTGTCCAGGTTTGATTGTGTATCCGAAAACACACATCCCAAAAAAAGTGGTAATTTCATGTTTGAGTGTATACTGGATGTCCCATAAGTTTCCGTACATAGGAACAATAAATGTGTAACCAGTGTCATTACAAGAAGCATTACTCCAGCAACATTTTTCTGCTCCTGAAGAACGCATGTAAGCACAGCTGGAGT